CCCATGCCCCACTTCCTTGTCTCAGCTCACTTGGGATTCCTAACTCTTCCTGGTCGCTGTCCCCGACCAGCCTGGAAACAGGGACTGGGTCTCTTTCCCCCAATGCACACGTGTCTGAGGGAGAAAAGGGTAGGGGATATTGGTGATTCAGGGGAGGAGCAAGGCTGAGCTTGCTTCTTGGGCCATGGCAGGAAACCCAAAGACAGAGACAGAGGCATGGTGATTCTTCTGTGACCCTGGGGCCAGGCCCACAGCTGATGAACGGGAAAGAGGGACAGAAGGCACTTGCTCACGGCCTGCAAGCCCTGAGCAGCCAGCAGGGGTCAGCCTTCGGCCGCTGTCCAGTGAGCCTGGAGCGCACCATTAGTTCTGAAGCTTCCTTCTGGACTCAGACTCCCCATTAGGCCTCTGCACGGTCCAAATGTTTCCAGGGGAGGCGGAAACATTTACCCGATGTTAATGCTCTTACTCAAGAGCAGCCCTTCAGTGAGTCTGAGTCTCAGTTCCTCTGTCACCGCGGAGCCTTGAAGCTGTGAGCAAGTCACAGAACCCTGGCCGGGACAAGGGAGTTGGGGAGAGCAGCCATGCCTCCTGTGCATTAGCATACAGAGTGCCGGGCGTGCTGCGCTTGGTGCCTGACAGGTGGGAAATGCTCTGTCGATGAGCGCTGACATGATGGTGCTCACAGCATCTGCCCAGGGAAAGGCCACGTGACAAAAAAACAGCCCGGCCTACGGGAAGAGACTGGTCTAGAATCACGTACTAGCTGTGTGGCCTTTGGCGGATAACTGCCTCTCTGAGTCTCAGCTTCCAATCTGTGAGTTGGGGAGAGCAACCATCCCTCCTTTCCAGGGTTCTTTCAAGGATCTGACGAACCACCAGCCCTTGCCTTAAAAGTAGTTCCCGACTCAAGGCACCCCAACACGTGTCGGAGTGGAATGGTACTCCAGAGGATTATAGCAACAGCTGTCATCCTGCAGGAGTGAATGGCCAGGCCTTTCATCCGCAGCACCCACTGGGTAGACTGGAACTGCCAGCTTTGGGGTCAACAATACTGGGATCAAAACCATTTGCACTGCACGGGGACCTGACTTGATGAATAACTGGGTGTGACAGCCCCGGGGCCACGGTACCTGCAGCTCGGCGGCCGTCACTTTGTGGTAGATGAGCTCCTCGTCACGCCGCTTCTCCTGGGGAATGGTGATGTTGGCCAGCGCCGTCTCGAAGTCCAGGATCTGCTGCATCTGAGGCCGGATCCTGTCTTCGTCACCCCCGCCCAGCAGCTTCCCCAGCTGAACCATGTAGTTTAGGTAGCCAGTCAGCACCTGTGGGAGGACCCCGGGGGCACCCGACCATCAGTGAGGGGCTGCCAGCTACTGCCACCTGGGGGCATGGTGAGTCAGGCCACTCAGAGGGGCAGGGGGAGGCTCTGGAGGGAGTAGCTTTGCAGTCGAACCCCAGCCCCACCACTCTCTGCTGTGTGACTTCAGCCAGATCACTTGGTGTCTCTGAGCCTTAGTCCTTCCTCTGGAAAGGGCAAGGTCACACTCCTACCCATCTGCAGAGGAGGCAAAGGAAGCTCAGAGAAGTGCCGCCTCTGCAGGGTGCCTGGAGGGTTTGCACACAAAGTCTGGAGCCCACACGTGGTGGGGCAGTGCATGCTGCCTCTTTGTTGATTGGGCAAAGGTGGCACCGTTCTCTGTCCTCTGGGCCCAAGCTGTCTGAATACGGCATAGCCAGCCTGGGAGGATCCCGCCCTGTAGCCCATGCGGGAGCACTTGCGGGCTCGGGGCTTGGCTGGGCTCAGGACAGGCACACTCACCTGCTCGTTTTCCGTTTTGTTCAAGTAATAGTCTCTTGAGGGTAAGCCCAGGCCGGACTGGTCCACCTGGAGAGAAAGGCAGATGAGAGAGGGTACCCTCCAGGGCATGCCCCCAGCTCACTTCCATACACCTGCGGGACCAGCTGGTGAGTGGCATCAGGGGACTCTCCTGGACTCCAGCAGGACAAGCCTGTTGCTGGGGGCACTCTTGGGGTGAGCCCCCCCGGGAGTGGGACAGATACAATCGGGGCTGCATCCCCACCCACACGTGGTCAGCAGCAGGTATTCTGAGCCCTGCTGGGGGACTGCACAGAACCACACTCCTCCTTCAATGGCCCCCAGCCTTGGCACAGGGCCAAACACCTCCCAAGATGGTCACGCAAACTCCATACTCGGATCAAGTTCCTTAACCTCTCTGTTCCTCGGGTCCCTCCTCCAGCCCTCTGAGCTGGAATGAGGAGCCACGGAGGCACTGCTGGCCCATGGCCTGCACAAGATGAGAAAACTCCCCAACCCAAGCTCACTGCCAGAGTCCGTGCAGACTCTGAGTGGCTTGTGGGCAGAATAGGACGGCCCCTGTGGGTTTCTGAAGCCATAAATCTTGATGGCAGTAGGAGGTTTATCTCTCTTCTCCCACAAGGCAGACCAGGAGAGTCTACTCCCAGTAATTATTACTGAAGTCCTAAAGCCCTACCCTGGGGCAGGTGTGATTAGAGGCCTTTGGACACAGGTGCAAAGTGCAGCTCAGAAAGCAAACACAGTGAGTCACTAGAGGCTCAGCCTGGGTCTCTCGCTTCTGGATCTGGGGGAGGGGCAGACCCGTGCTGGCTGCCACTGGGAGCGCTTGTCCTTGTCTGGGACAGGTTCGGCAGGAGGGACGGACTCACATTGAGGCTGAGCAGAGTCACCAAGGCCAAAGAGTCAGGTGAGGGGCACCAGGCAGTGTTTCTAGCCCTGCCCAGGAGGTGATGTCACTCCTGGCAAGCCCAAGGAACCATCAGAACCACAGACACCTGGGCTTCTTTTTATAATCTCTTGGTTGTTAAAATCTCATACTTAGGGCCTTAGAAAACCCCACAGCCCAGGCTTAGAAAACTCAAAAGGCTGCCACCTAGGGCAAGCCATCCTCCACCCCAGCATTTGTCCACCTCCAAATGGGCCACAGGGCATGTCCTCTTATGCCCCGAGCTGCAGGCTGCTCACCTGGATCACGTTGCTGTTGGAGTTCTTGGAGTCGGCGCTGACATAGACAGAGAAGAACGGAGAGGTGCGGTAGTGGGCGGTGACCACCTGCAGAGTGTCCTGGAAGGTGTCCTTGTCCCAGGGCCCTGTGATGTTCCAGCCCCCGAGCTGTGGGGAGGGGAGGGGTTAGGGAGGTGGCGAGGAATTCTGGGTTTTCAGCTGATTTGATAGCCATCCCAGGAAAGGCAGCAGTGGGGTTGAGAACTCCCAGTGCCAGGGACTCTGGGTTTCGGGACCCTCCTGAGGAACCATCACCAGCTGTCAGTCTGTCAGTCTGTCATACTGTGGCGGCTCGCATGTTGCTACCGTGCTGGAAGCTACACCACCAACATTTCAAATGCCAGCAGGGCCACCCAGGGTGAACAAGTTTCCGTGAAACTTCCAGAATACAACAGACTAGAAAGGAGGACCTGGCGATCTACTTCTAAAAACACCCTGGCAGGTGAAAACTTTATGAGTTGCCACAGCCCGGTGTCTGATATAGTGCCAAAGAGGAGCCCCTCAGGTTAGGGGCCAGGCGGCCAAACAGCTGCCGCTTCCAGCTAGAGCTGACTTCACGACACGGCTAGAGTAAAGCTTCCAGGACCTCCACCTGCTGAAGTGGCAGGATTCCAAACGAGAAGAAATGGCCGCAAACATCCATCCTTCATCAGAACGTAGAATGAATGCCAGGAAACCGGACATTGAAACAGAATGGCACGGAATGCATCAAGAGCGAGTGCTCGTCCTTAGTGAGCTTGGACTAGACTGGTGCTAGCCCTTCTGAAGGGGGGGCCACCACAAGGCCGTCTGTGCGCAGACGACACACCGAAGAAGGGCATCCTGCTCATCAGGAGAGGGGCCATCTCAAGATCGGTCCTGAGGTACGGTGCTGCCAGGGAGAGGGCAGAATCCCTACGCCTGCCGGAAGACCAGTGAGCAGCACCGTCATTCAAATGCATGCAGCCACCACAAACGCTCCACATGAAGAGATTAGAGATTTTTGCCAACCTCGGCAATCAAAACCCATTCTACTTACTGGTGATTGGAATGTGAAAGCTGACAGGAAAGGATGTGGGAGGGAAGGGAAACCTGGCCCGCGTGAACAAAAACCCTGCGGGGATAGCGTGATAGGCTTTTGCTAGACCAATGGATCCTTTGTTGCCAACACCTTTGTTCAAAAACAAAAATGGTGCCTGTGCGCCTGGGTCTGGCCAAAGGGGATAGACAGGAATCAAAGCAACTACACCTGTGGAAAGAGACAATGGGAGATCTCTACCTGAGCAGAAGAAGGCCAGAGGCTGACCGCAGGGCAGACGTCACACTGTTCCTATGCACGTTCAAGCGGAAACTCAAGAAAATGGAAACAAGTTCATGAGAGCCCAAGCATGACCTTGAGCATTTCCCATCTCAGTTTAGATAATATCTCCAGAACAGATTGGATGCACTGAACATGAATGACCAGTAGAATTGTGGAATGGTATCATGAGCATCATACGTGGAGGAAAAGGTCACTAACAAGACAAAAAAAAAAATGAGGATGACGATGACCAAAATGGATGCCAAACGAGACTCTGAAATTTGCTCTTGACTGTAGAGTAGCCAATCAAACGAAGATGATGACGTGAAGGAACTAAATAGATGATCTCAAAGAAGAGGAGAGAATGAAGTATTATGAAATGTGAAGGATCCTTTCAACATTTCTCAAGTTGAACGAACGGAAAGAAAAGTTCAAGCCTTGAGTTGTAAGATTGAAGGATTCTCTGGGCAAGACATGGAAAGGCAGAACCGGCTGACGTTCAACTGCTTTAGGAGGTGGACTATGATGCAGAACAGGTGCTGTTGAGGGAAAACGCCCAGGCTGCCCTGAAGGCAATGGTGAAAAACATGGCCCCAGGATTTGCTGAAATTCCCATTGAGATGTTTCAACACACTGATACAGTGCTGGAAGCTAGTCTCTGCCAAGAAACGTAAAAGACAGTTATGTGGTCAACTGACTCCTGATCTCCTCAGAGATCCCTTTAAGGCCATTCGAAAGAAAAGTGATCTGAGTGTGGGAAATTATGGAACAATATCATATATCACATGTAAGCAAATTTTGCTGAAGATAACTTAAAAATAGTTGCTGTCTGAAATGCTCGTGGAATTCAGATGAGGATGTGGAATGAGGGATCTCATTGCTGATGTCAGATGAATCTTGGCTGAAAGCCGAGAAGACCAGAAAGATGCTTACTTGTGCTTACTGACAGCACAGAGGCAATCGGGTGCGTGGATCCCCACAAAGGATGGCTAACAGTGGGAAGAATGGGAATCCCAGAACTCTTTACTGTGCTGTGGAGCCTCTTACAGGGGCCAAGAGGCAATCATTTGAACACAACAAGTGGGGTACTGTGTAGTTTGTTTTTTTGATCATTTTATTAGGGGCTCATACAACTCTTATCACAATCCATACATACATCAATTGTGTAAAGCACACTTGTACATTCATTGCCCTCATCATTCTCAAAACATTTGCTCTCCACCTAAGCCCCTGGCACCAGCTCCTCATTTTTACCCCTTCCTCCCCTTTCCCCCTCCCTCATGAACCCTTGAGAATTTATCAATTATTATTTTGTCATATCTTGCCCTGCCCGACGTCTCCCTTCACCCAATTTTCTGTTGTCCGTCCCCCAGGGAGGAGGTCACATGTAGATCCTTGTAATCGGTTCCCCCTTTCCAACTCACTCTCCCTCTACGCTCCCAGTATCGCCACTCACACCACTGGTCCTAAAAGGATCATCCGCCCTGGATTCCCTGCATTTCCAGTTCCTATCTGTACCAGTGTACATCATCTGGTCTAGCCAGATTTGTAAGGTAGAATTGGGTTCATGATAGTGGGAGAGGAGGGAGCATTTAGGAACTAGAGGAAAGTTGTATTTCATTGTTGCTACATCGCACCCTGACTGGCTCCTCTCCTCCCTGAGTACTGTGTAGTTTAAAATCAAGAAAGGTGTGTGTCAGAGTTGAATCCTGTTACCATCTGTATGCAGAGAAAAAAATCTAAAAAGCTGGATTAAATAACCATGGTATCAGAACTAACATTACTTCTATAATAATTATGGAGGAAGACTCATTATGATCTGTATTATAGAGATTGACACAACGTTGCAACATGAAGTCAACAAAAATTCTCACAAGGAAACTGACAAAGATCTTTGTGAGACACAGAAAAGACTGACGTTTTCAAAGAAGTCATTTTACTTAGGAGGGAGGACAGTGAGACTTTGTCTCATGTACTTTGGACAAGTCAGCAAGAGACATCAGTCCCAGGAGGGCGTCAACGAGGAAGGGCCTCAGAGATGCACTGGCACAGTGGCTGTAACTTGGGGCTCAACCGGCAATGCTTGTGAGGGTGCTGCGGGACCAGGCAGTGGTCTGTTCTGTTGAACGTGGTGTTGCTAGGAGCCCCTGACTGCAGGTGTAACAAAGGAGAGGGTCTTCATGAGGAACTTCCAAAGGGAGAGCAAGAATTCCTGGGCGGGAACAAAGACTTATCCTGACAAGTGAACCCTGAGTCCAGGTTGCTCCCTGTGGGTGGGGACAAGGGATAGGGGATGGAAGGAGACTCTCCCCGTCAACTGCTGACTTTTTCAATACTGAACCACAAGAAGATAATGCCTATTAAAATACAAATTCAAGTCTGCCAGATTAAAAAAAATGTTTCTTCTCAAATTAAGAAAATGTTTTTCATCTCCCGAGTCTTCCTTCTTGCCATTAGTCCCGACCATATGCTCACGGGTGAGGGACAGGGACAGTGCCAGAGCCTGCAACCTCTGCTCCTGAGAAGCCCAGCTAGGAGGCAGGGCTTTGGAGGGAGTGCGGACAGCCTGGCCAGCCTTCTGCAGCCCCCTAAGAGGCCGCTCATGCCCAGTGGGGAAGAAAGCTTCCTCCCCCTGCTCAGGAGGAAAGAGAGACCCCCAGCTTGGCAGGCCACTCCTCCAGGGAGGGTTCCGTTCTTGGTCTGACTTTCTAGAACCGCCTCCCACCCCTCCACACGGATAAACAGAGACTAGAAGTGAGGAAAGCAGCAACACAGAGTCATGTTTTCCCTGTAAATACATCCCCCCACATCCTCCGGATGCACAGAGACACACATCTATGACAGACATGCGC